AAACAGTTTCCCCCAGTGTTGAACAGAAACTGGGGTTTTTCTGTGCCATAATTTCAAAAGCAAAAACAACAGTAATGATGGCGATGATGTCTTGAGCATCTTAAGGGAAATTACTGGTCATTTATACACTTTCATTGACTTTTTAAAAAAATTTAAATGTTTATTCTAAAAACATGAACAATCTAGGTATCTTTCATTGCTATGTTAGGGTTTAGCCTCTGTTTTTGCCTCATATTTTGCTCATTTTTTGCAGCAGATATATATTGAGCACCTATTACAGCATATTCACTGTTCTAGCCCATGGGGATACAGCAGTCAACAACAGACGAAAATCATGATTCTCTTGGAGCTTATATCCTAGTGGGGTGGGGAGACGGGAAAGATATAAGACAAAGAAAGAGAGGACATTGAGAAAGTGGTAAGTGCTATAAAGAAAAATAAAAGAGGGGAACATAGGAGTAGTATGGGTGTGCAAGAGAGTGTAGCCAGCAAAAGCCTGGAATTCGGGTCAAGATATGAAAGGTCGAGCAGCAAGCCATAAAGCTATCTGGTGGAAAACTGTTTCTGCCAGAGAGAACCTCAAATTCAAAGACCCTGAGATACATACAAAGATGGAAGTGTATCTGGGCAGAGTCCTGAGAGCAAGACAGAGAATAATCAGAACATGAGGTTACAACTGTAACGGGGAGCCCGTGACCTTACGGGCCAGTGCAGGGACTTGGGCTTTCTTCAAATGAGGTGGGAAAATATTACAGGAGTCCGAGAGGAGAAACGGGAGACAGTTTGTTTTAGCAAGGTGATTCTGGCTGCTGTATGGAGCATAGATGGAAGAAACGAGGACAGAAGTCAAGAGGCTGCTGAGTAACACATGGTAGCTGGGTCTGAAGTAGTGAGAAGTGGTCAAAGTCTAGTTATTTTTTGAGATTTGTTGAGAAACTGAATGTGTGGAATATATGAGATTGAGGGAGGGAGAAAGAGATGAAGGATTACTACAAGCTGTTTGGCCTGAGCAACTTGGAAGAATGCGTTACTATTAATTAAAATATAACACTGGAAATAGTTTTGGAAGATTGATTTTTCGGGTTCTGACATGTCAGATTAGGCAATTGACTATGTGGGTCTGGAGTTAAAGAGGAAGGTCTGGGTTGCTGAATTAAATTTGGAATTATTCAGCATATGTAAGCCATGAGACGGATGACATCACTAAACAAATTTAGATATATGCTCCTTTAACGCTTTTGAGACCAAATCCAGGAGATGAAGAGCAATAAGCAGAAGGAAACTTAAAAGGGCCCAGAGGGTTAAAGAGAAAACCAAGAGTATGTGATGTCCGGGAAGGCAAGTGCTGAAAGTAATTTGAGGAGGAGGCAGTCATCAACTGTGTCTTGAAATCAAGCCAGAGGAGCAACTTTGGATTTAGCAATCTGGGGATTTTGATCTTGGTAAGAGCAGTTTCAGGGGAGTAGAGTAGTGAGAGCCTGACTAGAGTGGCTTTAGTAAAGAGCAGGAGAAGAGAGAGAGAGATTGGAAACTGATATGAGACGGCATTTAAAAGTTTTGTTTTACAGGGAAGGCAGGAAATGGGGCGGGACCTGTAGTGGGAAGTGTGTCCTGAGGTTTTCGGTTTTGTTTGATGGTAGAACTAATAGCATCTTTATAGACTGTTCTTCCTATATGTGTCTGGGGACTACATACCTAAATTCTGACAGAGATCTGCAGTGACAGGAGTTTTGATTGGAAGTAAAGGCTATTTGATCAGATCACTTTGGATTCTGGGTCTTAGGAAAATGCCAGTGCTGCCCTAAGCATCTTGAGAGACCTGCATCACAGAAGGGGAACGGAGATGCCAGGAGATGGAGGGGGCAGGGGAAGAACATGCATCCAAATCAAGCATTGCCCATTTGCCTTTTGCTTGGGGTTAGGTTACTATAGGGCCTCAGGTGTCAGTGAAAAGTTCTTCCACAGGCCACAGAAGTTTACTCTAGGTGACACATTAACACAAAAGCTTTTGAAATTGACTTTTTCTTTCATCTTTGCTTCATCTCTGTGGGAAAGGTAACTTCAAATGAGTTTAAAGGCACTTGATTGGAAGTCATTTCCATGTCCTAGATACTTTGGGAACCTGCCTGCCTTCTGTTGTGGGACTATAAGTGGTTTCTGTTAATTAATGTATCTCTGTAACAGTGTCTTCTGGGAACTCTGCTACCCAGTAATGTAGGTGTTCTGATGAATCAAGTAATCTAGTTAACAAGGACCTACAACATATGACTTAAATTACTAATGTTGAAAGACACCTAAGTCTAGATATTGTAGGTGTTGAGATGAAAACTGGATAGAGTCATTCTCTCTAATCAGCCAGCACCTCTGGGTGCCAGTGACCGTGAGGACACAGATTCAGGAGCTGGTCCTCTTCTTCCCTGGAGTAGAGACTTTATTTCACCCAGTGATCTAGATTAGGCTCTGCTGAGATCATTTCTGTCAATCATGGGACTGGGAAACAGTCTAAGCCAGGCGTCCTCAAACTATGGCCCGCGGGCCACATGCGGGTGTTTTTGCCCATGTTTTTTTTTTTTTTTTTTACTTCAAAATAAGATATGTGCAGTGTGCATAGGAATTTGTTCATAGTTTTTTTTTTTTTTTTAAACTATAGTCCGGCCCTCCAATGGTCTGAGGGACAGTGAACTGGCCCCCTGTTTAAAAAGTTTGAGGACCCCTGGTCTAAGCAATTAATTAAAGAGATTATGAGATTAGGGAAATGTCCAGGTTTCACCAGTTCATCTGTGAGAAGAGTATTATGTTACTTGTATTTTCAACAAGTGGAGTTGACATTCTTTAGGGCTGAACACACCCTCATGGACAAAGTACAGATATTTTATAATGTAGTCTCACTTTTACACTTTGCACTTTGGAAACAGCTATAGTGTGGTCTGAAAGCCTGGGCTGGAAATTAAAAAGGCTGGTATTCAGTTCCAGCTACCCTTTAGTCTGTGACCTTGGGAAAGAAAATCTCGGTACTAACGTTCTCCCATTTGATAAATAGTTATAATATTGTTACTGCATACGGTATAAGTTTGTGTGGATAAAATGTATGGAAAACAGTAAAGTATCTTAAGAAGAAAAGGTATAATGATTTGTTTTATGAGTTATCAATTTTACACTGTTGTGTTATATTTCTGATTGATGCTCCGTTTTTTCTTTTTTCCTCAATACTTAAGGTACGTGGTTTACTCTGAGTTAAGTATGTAGCAAGTTAAGTAAGTTATGACTCTTAACTTACCCAACACTGTTCATAGTACCAATATAACATGTCACTGCCTCCTTGATTGGTCTATTAAAATGAACATTACTATGTAATAATGTGGACAGATATAATAAATACCACTATGCAAAATTGAAGTTATTATAATTATGGCATAGAAATAGTGATAAAAATCATGCCTCTACCACATACCACATTTAAAAAATTTATTTCCTTTTCCTTTTCAGGATTTAAAGTGTTAAACTCTTCATTCTGACCAAATGATTAGGAAGATACAGTTCTACTGATTATTTTTATACTAGAATAATCTTTCATTATTAATCCATTTAAGTCTTATCTCAAATCAGTTCATCAGTGCTACCAATTAAAAATAGAAAATGCATGTGCTCAATTTCAAGAATTAAAAATAATGCCTTGGGAGTAGCATTTCTTTTCTGTGGTGAGAGGATTGTTGGATTTTCCAATTAAAGAAGTCTCCATACTGGAAATGAGTAGTCAATTATGAAAATTATTTTTGAATAGCCAATTTGCATATCCCTAATTGTATTCATTTCTTTTGAAAGACTGAACTTGGAGTTTATGATATTTTGATTGGTTAACCCTGCACTTCTGTTATTAATACTATTGCCAACAAGGTTCCCTTATGAATGGAGCTTTGAGTGTCTTTCTAGATAAATGTTTAAATAATAAGAAGGTTTGTTTTATTTAATGAATAAAAAATATCTAAAGATTTACCAGCAGTTTTCAAATGTACAAAGATTGCACTTTATTGGATTGACAGTAGCATCCTAAAACTGCCTGCTGCAATCACATTTGAACCTTTCTACATCAGCTGATTAGAAACATTTCAAGTTCTTCTGTGATGGTGATGTCTGTTGGCCAAAAATGCAATTTCAGCAGGGCTACCCTCACTATTGATACAGTAGTGTCCGCATGATTGTTTGCATTTTTAAAACATATTTTACCCTTATTTTAATGAAAAATGCCTTGAAATGGACAATTAAAAGTTTCTATCTTAATGGTAAGCATCGGTCTACGTGAAATAAAATTGAGATGCAGTTGGGAATAACGAGGTTAAAAGTGCTAATGCTTAATCTCATTGGAATTAGCATTCTTCGGACTTCAATTAGTTGACATTGAGTCAGTCATGAAGAAAAAGCAGAAAATTAAAGTCATGTACAAAAATAGGATATCTATATGAGAAACAAATTGCATTCAAGTGTACAGACACTGTTTATATGTATGTATTTAGATTTTGCCTAGAAGGACAGATACAATTAGGGATTTCATAATGTGTTTTAGCTCTCTGAGACTGGAATGTCCCCTTGTACCATATGTGTCTATTGTTCAACTTTTACATATTCAGATTTCATTGTTGGAAACACTCTTAAAGAGATAATGAAGTTCTTTTAGGCATATTAGGTAAGCTGGTGAGGGGAAGAGGCAGCCATTTCATTCCTTATTCCTTCATTCATTCATTAACAGAGTGAACCAAAATTGGTCTCTGTTTCAGGAATAAACAAACTAAGTGAGCAAACCATTTATTATTTCCTGGCCATGGTGCTTATAGACATAATCTTTATTGAAAAAATTAGGAGTTGTGGTACAGTAACATTAAAGTTTTTAAGTTTGAAGAGGCCATTTTCTTTAAAAGCAAACAAAGATCACAATCAGCTAGACACACTATCCATGTGATATGCGTGTCCTACAAAGTAATTAGTGTTGTTGGATTTGTTTGTAGCTGATTGCTGTGTTTGAAGAACAAGAACCACTCCACAAGATTGAGAGCCCCAGTGGAAACCCTACAGATCGGCAAAGCCCAGATGCTTTTGAAACAGAAGTGGCTGCCCAACTGGCTGCGTTTAAACCAATTGGTGGGGAAATTGAAGTGACCCCTTCTGCTCTGAAACTAGGTATGTGCTTTCTTAGTGGGATGCTTTTCACCTGATTGAAAATACATCATCTTGTTGGACTATGTGGTGCTGCTGCTTTATGACTTTTATCCTGTTAATTTTTTAAAATGTGAATTCCCTTTTCTGTAAATTATTTTTGTATTATACATAGCTCTTTGCAGCTGCTGGTGCTCAGGTAAGAGGATGCAGTACTTTCTAGAACTGAAGGTGAATCTGAATCGCATGGCCTTGAATCAACAGAGGGGGAGTCAGGCTGTAAATGATGAGGTTTGCCTGTATCATAGGAGGATCACTTTTTTAAAAAAAAAGTTCTTGAAAAAAGTCATTTGGAAAAAGCTAAGGGTTATCAAAGAATACAACCTAGAAAGAAAGATCACTTTCTTTTCTTACCCTCCCTCTTTTTCTCCCTAGACTATATATCTCAGAGTTTGGGGAAAATATTTTCAAGATGGTTTTGAAATTCTTTCCTGCTGATTTATTCAAATAAGAGCAATTCATCTGGTGATTTTGCCCAGAATTCTTTTTCATTATATTCGTTTTAAAGGTGTTTGTAGAAAGAGAAAATAAACATTCTTCTAAAATTTCAATTTACAACTCCAAGAGAAATAACATGTCAGTTTTGGTGATACCTCCCAGAGATAAATTAAGGTCAGTTTAACAGCATGAAGTTTTTGAAAATCCACTATTATTTTGATACTTAAAACAATTTTTTATTCTTTTTGAATCTTTGCACGACATTTTGATACTGGTCAAAGTACTTGTTATAGGTTAATTCTCAAGCTAGAAGAGCAAGGTTTTTACCACTTTGCAAGGAACAGCTTATTCTTTTTACAGCAAAGCATATACTTAAAATCATACATAGTACCAGTTTTATCTATTTGAAATAAAATGTATACTGAAAAGTTGATTTTTTACATACTGTAATACTGAATATCCATATACTGATTTTCTAAAAAACATCTGTAATGCCCCTTTTAAAAGAAACCAAATGGAAATTAATGACCTATGGTATTCATGGTTTTCTCTCTATCTTTTGGAACCAAGCTAGTAAAGCAGTCTGCTGGAACGTGGATGTCAGAGGGCTTTGTGGCAGCTTCTCTTCATCTGAAGCCAGGCTTGTGGCTTCAGCAACCTTGCAGCCCCATCATTCATTTGCATAATGGATGCCTTTTATCCATTATGCAAATGGTATGAGAGGAAAATTAGGCAATAAGGGAAGACGAAAGGAGAAAATTGCTCTTGCGTATTTTAATATTCTATTTATAAGCAAGCACCGTGGTCTTCAAATGGCTGAACCTCAGGGAACCCCTGTGCCTGGGAATTTATTTTTACCTTTCTCATATGGGCTTTGTCAGAGAAAAAAGTTTGATTTTTCTTCAGATTTCTCACAATTTCTTTGTTGGACTGTCTTAGCAACATAATAATGCAAGATGAAAAATCAGCTGAGGTTCCCCTTCTCTGAGAGTGGACTTCTACTTCTTGAATACTGATTTTTGATAAGATATAGAAAAAAATATCTCTTAAATGGAGAGACAACATGCCAGATGCTGAGCTGAAGGCAGTGCACTAAGTAATCTAAATCCCTTACTCATAATGACTTGTTTAAGCCTCATAATACTTAATTAGTTGGGCTTTATTATTTTTCTCTTTTTAAGAGTTGAGGCATCAGCACAGAGAGGGTTAGTAACTCATCCAAAATCACACAGCTATTAGGTGACAGAGCCAGAATTTGAACCCCTGTTGGCTCCAGTGTCAGAAACCATTTTGGCATCTTGCCTCTGATATGCTGTTCATAAAACGGTAAATCAATTTGACTTTCCTGGGGTTTACTTTGAGTATATATACCAAAGCCCTGAGAACGCTAAACTCTGTGGCTCACAATCCCATTTTACTTCGCAACATAGATCAAATGATGAGAGTAGCTCCCTTTTGGTTGGTAAATGTTGCTTTCCAGCCATTCAGCCTAAAACCTTGGCATCGTCTCCATTTTCTTCCGCCTCCCCACTTCCGAGAGCTCTTCGGCTTCAGTCCAGAGCTTGGGCATCAATCAGCTGGTTGCAGAGGCCTCAGACTGGCCTCCTTCTCTGCAGCGTCTGCTTTCCCCAATCCTGCTGTTGCCAGAGCTGCCTTTCTGAATGGCAAATCTGATTATATGACTCCCCTGCCTAATGGCCTTCAGTGGCTCCCTGTCACCCCAAGAACCGTGTCCAAACTCGTTAGCAAGCTGATGCAGCTGGTTCCTCTGAATTAGCAGGAGGAATCTGGGCGGGATGAATGATGAAAAAAAAAAATCATCCCTTACCCACCTTCATGGTTCTAGAAGATTGAGTAATTTTCATTTCTGGGACTTAAAAAGCAAAAAAAACCATATTTGTCAGGTTTTTCAGATAAGGAAGTTAAGGAAGCAATACAGCGGGCGTTGGTCTCTGCCTATTCTGTTTTCCTGTTGCTGGCCCCAGGGCAGGGTGTGGTAACGGGCCGGCACCGCAGGGTGGAGGGTATGGTGGGCAGTAGATGCAGAGTTTGTGCTCTTCTGGGAGTGTGGCCAGGGCGTGCTGGCAGGCCACCCTGAGGTCCTGCTAAGATGAAGAATGGGAGGGGGCAGTCAGAGTAGCGGCACTTGAGTTCCAGCCATTCATCATAAGGGGGTGCTCATAAAATGCCAACCACTGAGCCCCACCCTCCATCTCCATTCTCTACTCAGATCCCCTAGACCATAGGAACTGGATGGGGCTCATTCCCCCAGGCTGGTACAGCAGAGAAGTAGGGCTTAATGCTCACTCCTTTTCTTATTCTTAAGGCCCACTCAGAAAAATAAAGAATTTAATCCTTATCTGCTCACATGCTGTTCTTAATTAAGTAGGCACAATTTAACAAATATTAGGAATCAAGACATTTTTATGATTACATCATATTGATCACCAACAATTTAGCTATTTTACTGGTATCTTAAATCAAAATATACTCAATGTTCAGTATAATTTTCATATTTATTATTTAAAAACAAGATGTAACTATCAACAGTATTCTGTCAAAAACCCAGTAACCACCTTTCCCATATAATACATCCAGCGGTTGGCCCCCTCCTATTCTTTCTTCATCTTCCAGAATGAAATATGTATGCAAGGAATATGCATAAAATTCACATTCCTAGATCTTCATGCTCGAGCTGCTTCCTCTCTGACCCCCTTTATTGCTGGCCACTCTTCCACTGTCACCATAACTCGCAGCTATCATGAACCGATGGCCATTCCAAATATACTACTTTGTTCAAATCTCTGTGCCTTTTCAGGCACTGTTTTCTTTTCATGGCTCACCCCTTTGTCTCTCTTGTACTGATGAACTCATATGCACCTTTTAAGCCCAAGCCCAAATACGACCTTGTTTGTGAAGCCTCCTTCATGTCTTTGAGACAGTATAGTAAGTGTACAATAAATATATTTATTCTTCACTCAACAATGAAGGGTTACAAAGGTGAACAGTAGAAATCGTCTACTGAACTAAATAGGTTCATAGTCTCATGCCCTATAAGCTAATGACGGATACAATTTTAATTTGTAAGAGGAGTTTAAAATCAAGTGGGCATCCACATAATTCCAACTTCCTTCATCTAAATTATTTCCTACCATTTATTTTCTAATGGATTTTCTAAAGGAATGCTAGATGACTGAGTTCTGCCTCAGCCCTAACTAGCAAATCATTCTAACACTTTAATATTCCATGTTTCTGAAATTGGCCAATGCCTTTTACCATCCAGCCTAGAGATTGCTAACCTAAGAGTCTATATAGAAGATGAGACATAGTGACCAGAACACCAGGTGGAATTGCAAAGAATCATATTCACAGAATCTATGCATACTTGAAAACCACCCAGTCAAGAATTTTCCAAGTCTTCTCTATGGAACCCTATGGTTCTTCTGAGCATGTTTTAGGGCTTCAGCAGATGTTTGATTGTAGTTGATTAATAAATAATATTTATTGAGTACTTAAGTTCTAGATGATATTCTAATTTGTTCGTGCTCCATCTCTGAACTATGGCTGTGCTAGCAGGGAGGATTGGCTGTGCCAGCAGGGAAGAAAGGCATGCAGAAGCCTGGTAAGTAGGCTATAAACAGATTCCCAGTGCTTTTTAGAAGTCCTAGAGCAAAGAAACCTACCTCCACTCAAAAGAATTATGTACCCTTCAGAACAGGTTTGTGAAATGCTGGTCTAGAAACACACAGTTTCATAGAATTTCAAAAGTAGTGATTATCTAGGGAATTGACATTTATCCTACAAATAAGCAAACACAAGCTTAGAGTAAGTATATGCTCTGATGTAAAATAACTAGTTGGTTAAAGATCTAGAATTGGAATCTACATCACTTACCAGTTTAGGGAAAAGTACAGTGCTCTGTTACATGACATTTTTTGGATTAATTGTAATTTCAATTATCCATGTCTTTTAAATACCATATGTGATATAATAGCACCTCATATCCTTTTGGAATTGAAATAGAGTGTAAATTAATAAATAGATACTATGAATAGCTGTAAATCAAAAGCTAATGAGAGAACAAAGAGACCAGAAAAAATTGAGGTGGAGAAAATTTATTTAAAATCTTAAGTTTCAGAAATGAATTTGCTCCTGTCTTCTCATCCTGCATGTGTGTACATGTGCACTTGCATGTGTGTGTGTGTTTGGAGGAAATTTTTAGCAAAAGCAATATGCTAATGGGATCCCTAGTTGGGATTTTTTAAAATAATGTGGATATTTTTGTACCCTTTCCCCCTGACTGTCCCTCTGCTGCCTTATGACCTGACCTACTGCTCTCTAAAAGGTGTGATGTGGCTGTAGCCCAGTCCTTGTCCCTTGAGAACCAGAGATATGGAGCTGGTCCCAGACCCTTCTGCATTTGGTCCGCCTGGGTGCCCTGGACAGGCCATCTACCTCTCTCTGTCAGGGCCCAATTTTTCCAAACAAAAAATAAAGACACTTTCTACAGAAGTGAATACTCCGCA